CCTTATACGAAAGCCAATAGAATAAGCTTAAGCTTATGTAAAAGTTGGAGTTAATGATACTTTTGGTCCTATGAGTATTGAGGTCTTTTAATTTCAATCAATGACTTTCAAAACTTACAATTAGTATCCCACCTATTCAATTTTTATCAATTTTGATCCACTTAGTCAAATTGTAGACGAAAAGTGGCCAAAATTTTTTAATAGTAAATGTTAGGATCATTGTATTAGGATTTTGATGATACCAATGTAATGTAGGAAAGTAGACCCCTAACCATTAGTTCTTTTTAATCGCTGCTTTCGTCCTAGACGAGAGTTGCCATAACTCCTCTGTAATTCGTGTTAAGCTAGACAAACACACGAAAATAAGTTATGACTAGATGTTAGGGTCTCCAAGGCGAAAGAAGACATGAGACATGAAGAACAACAACGAAAGTCAAGCAGGAGTTGTCAACAAGCACGAAAGGACAGTTTTTGTTAAAGACGATCTTTATCAAGCATTACTTCTCTTCAACAACGAGAAGAATGTTCCACCTGTCTGATTTGACAACATCCTAGGACAATAAGGACTTCATCTTATGGGACACACTTTTCAAAAGCATTAAATGAAGATGTACCATCTTCTGGAGCTAAAGGACAAATCCTAATGCTTCCCATATCTTCAACGGCTACATGGTACAACCTCATTAATGAAGCATTTAATGCATGAAGCTCCCCGGTCCTTGTCCAATGGTTAAAGGGTTTGAAAATTTCATCTCCCTCCAACGGATGAATTTTCATCACCTATAAAAACCCACCTTCATCAGCTAAGAAGGTGCTGGTTCATTATCACTCAACTTACTCACTTACAAAAGCTCTTGAAAAGTCTACAATTTACTAAAAGCTTTTGTGAACCAGTTTTGAGGTGCTAAGTTACTTGAAGAATCATTTGCCTTACACCTCAAGGAAGTCTTGACATCTGTTTGAAGCAATCATATCTCAGAGTCAAGACCTCATCGTTGGAGAATTCAAGAAATCATTTTCTAACAACCGCAACTCAGGAGAAGAAGTTGATAGAGGCGGAGTAAACTCGAGGAGTTGAAAAACCTACGAAGGCTGTCCGGCTTAGTGATCAAGGAAGTCTTTGTGTACTTGTACTAAGAGTGATAGTGCAATCCTTCCAACAGTTGTGGAAGAAGAGTGGAGTAAGCAACATTGGCTGAACCACTATAAAATCTCGTGTCCCCTCTAACTCTTTACTTACGCTTTTCTTTTGTGCATTCATATCATTCCTTTATTATCGTTACCGAAAGTTTGTCTAATTACGCAAACTCGTGCAAAGTATCTAAAACAAATCTATCTTATCCGCTGCGCCAAGACACCGAAAGGTGACGTTTAGGGCTTCTAACGAAAAGAGAGTCTATTCACCCCCCCCCCTCTAGACTCTCATCTCATTCTATCGGGACCAACAAGTGGTATCAGAGCCTATACCTTGATCGGTAAAGGCTTTGCATTTACTGCTTGGTAGATCCCTATTCAAAAATCTCTTGAAAATCTTGCATATTTTCTTTGCACGTTTTTAAAAAAAAAAAATGGAAAAGGAACATGTTCATCGCTCCAAACAACTTGCATTTAGTCTTGCTAAATTTGATGACTGGAAGTTAAGAATGCAGGCTCTTCTATGCTCCATTCATGATGAAATGTGGGACGTCATAACAACCGGACCAATCACAATCATGATGGCAAATGCTCAAGTAGCCGCACAGGGAGCAGGAGCTCCACAAATGATACTAAAGCCAAAAGACCAGTACTCCTCAGAAGAAAGAACAAGAGCGAATCTGGACAATGTAGCAAGAAATATTCTCTACAAGTCTCTGGATGATTCCCTGTTTCCTAGAGTCCGAAAATGCAAGAATGCTATGGAAGTGTGGAATGTCCTAATGAGTCTGGGAGAAGGAGACGAGCAAGAAAAGGACAACAAGCTGACAATGGCTATGAAAAAATTTGAAGATTTCAAAATGCTGCCAAATGAATCAATCATGGATATGGAACTCAGATTCACCAGACTGATGGGCGATTTATCAGATCTTGGACAAGAACTTACTGAGAAGGAAATGAATATGAAGATCCTTCATGGTCTACCTAAATCATGGGAAATGAAGGTTATTGCAATAAGGGACAGTCGAGACATGAAAACAACAAGCACTGCCAAAATTTTCAGCGATCTCAAAGCTTATGAGTTTGAACATGAACCAAAAGATGCCGAAGATTCAGAAACAAGAAACATTGCTCTCGTGGCAAATCAATCAGCATCAACATCCAACAGGTCGAAACCTAACTCTTGTGATTTTTTATCTGATGAACAATATGCACTATTTGTCAGGAAAATGAAAAGATTCATGAGAAAGAACAACTTTCAAGACCCACAACGTTCGAGCCACCGAAAGAAGCACGAGAACTTCCCTCAAAACTCAAAATCTGAAACCATGGACTCTCAGCTATTGTGCTATAATTGCCGAAAGCCAGGATACTTCAAGGCGAACTGTCCACATCCCATAGTAAGCAAACATCAAGATAACAATGCTACCACAAGTCCCTCAAAAGAGACTGGAGAAAGATATAAAAGAAGCGACAAACCTGAATCATCAAACTCCAGAAAGGAAGGAAGAAGGAAGGCAATGGTAGTGAACGAAACTTCTGACACAGTCGTAACCGAAAGTAGCTCCTCAAGCTCTAGCTCAGAAGACGAAAGCACTGATGAGGAGAAAGGACTGCTGTGCCTATTCAGTCAAGAGTCAGACGAACTATGTCTCATGGCAGATGAAGACAAGGTAAATTCTCATTCATCCTCTTGTTATTCAGTTGAGTCGAGTTCTGTGAGAAGTCTTACCTCCAATGAATCTGTCACCGAAATGATAAGGAGGTTCAATGTGATAAATAGCACTTACTCCAAACTCAAGGAGGAGAACTCTCGGCTCATGCTTAGCTATAATGAACTAAAGCAAGTTCGTATTGAGAACAATGTGCTAGTCATTGCTAAGGAGCAGCTTGAGAAAGATGTTCTCGCTCTAAAGGAGCTGTGCACAGCAAAAGAGAAGAGAGAGCAAGAACTGCTTGAAGTTTTGGATAAATTCAATAATTCATCCAACCTAATGGATAGAATGATGAATGAATCCAGACTGCCCGGGGAAAGAACTGGAATTGGTTTTAACCCCAGCTCCTCTTCACAAGTCGAATTGAACAAATCCGTGAATGCATATTCACACGAAAGCATCGAGGCCGCATTTGTTCAAGGACCCACCCAGGTGTCTGAGCCTATGATGGTAGTTAACAATGTCGAAACACCACAATCAACAAGCCAACCGAAAGGTATGGCTGTACAACGAATTGTGGAATCTGGAAAGAAGAAATCTAGTAATGGCAATCCTAGACAAATCTATGTCAAAAGGAATGGACCAAATGGCAATAAACAGAATCTACGCCATAAAAAGGGTCAGCCTAACTGGAACACTCAATCCAATAAAAAGACGAATGGTAACCAGAGGCAATATCGTCCGAAATTCACACGAAAGAATCCTGCACAAGGAATCTCAAGAAGCGGACAAATCAGACAACCCGAAAGATCCTTCAAAAGATATGGGTATGGCAATGGATGGACTGGGCCATCAGAAGAAGATTGGTTTGATTACCCAGAACCTCTCCCAAGTGCAGTATTTGAAATGGTTCATCTGCGTAAACAAACCAATCATCTCAAGCATTATGAAAATCTTCCTCAGGAAGATCAACGTAAGAAATATAATGCTAAAGTCTTTGCCAGCATCCATTATGATTATCGCACATCTAATGGATATAGAGGACCGAGGATGAGTCGTGGATACTCTAGGTTGATATGGGTTCCAAAGTTGACTGCTAACCCCCAAGGACCAGAAACTAAATGGGTACCTAAAAACACATAATCTTTGATGCAGGAAAAACAGGTCATATGGTATATTGATAGTGGATGCTCAAGACATATGACTGGTGACAAAACAATGTTAAGCAACTTTAAGGAATTTGATGGACCCAAAGTTATCTTTGGAGGTGAAAATAGCGGCAAAACTCGTGGAAAAGGGGACATCATCAACAAGGGAATAACAATTCAAGATGTCTCTTATGTTGAAGGACTGAAGTTCAATCTCCTAAGCACAAGTCAATTTTGTGACAAAGGATACAAAGTAGAATTTCTCAAAGACGAATGCAAAATCGTGAACACGAAAGATAACAAGACAGCTTTAACGGGACAACGAAAGAAGAATATGTATGTATTATCTTTAAATTCTTCTAATGCTAATGTTTGCCTTGTAGCCAAAAGTAATGCAGATCTCAATCAAGAATGGCACAACAAACTAAGTCATCTGAACTTGAAGACGATAAACAAGCTTGCCAAGAGAAATCTCGTAAGAGGGCTACTCGAAGCATCTTACACGAAAGATAAAATATGTGAGGCATGTCAAAAAGGAAAACAATTCAAGTCATCCTTCAAGTCAAAAGATGTAGATGCAAACTCTCGATCTCTAAGCCTCTACATATGGACCTCTTTGGACCAGTTGATCCAGCAAGTTTGAGTGGAAGAAAGTATACTCTTGTTATAGTAGATGACTACACAAGATATACATGGGTGCTTTTCTTGAAAAAGAAGAATGAAACAGAAATAGCTCTTCCAAATCTTTTGAGACAACTTCAAACAGAAATAGCTCTTCCAAATCTTTTGAGACAACTTCAAACAGAAAAGGAGCTCAAAATAATACGAATAAGATCAGATCAGGGAACGGAATTTATCAACAAAGTCATAAAGGAATTTTGTGCGCAAAATGGAATTTTCCACCAACTTTCGGCAGCACGAACTCCTCAGCAAAACGGAGTAGCCGAAAGAAGAAACAGAACCTTGAAAGAAGCTGCACGAACGATGATCTCTCACTCAGGACTACCTAAGAGATTTTGGGCTGAAGCCATAAACATGGCATGCTATACACAAAATAGATCCTTGATCAACAAATCTCACAACAAGACACCATATGAGTTATGGAAAGGTAAAACACCTAGTATCGGTTATTTTCATGTCTTTGGTTGCAGGTGCTTCATACATAACAACGGAAAGAATCATCTAAGAGCATTTGACGAAAGAACTGATGAAGGGTTATTCATGGGATACTCCTCTGTAAGCAAAGCATTCAGAGTTCTAAACAAGCGAACAATGGTAATTGAGGAATCCATTCATGTCAAGTTTGATGAACAATCTGAGATGAACTCATCAGGAGTCAAAATCAAATCAAATCCTCAGCAACTTGTTGACGAAAATACCTCAGATGAAGAAGACAAACTCTCGTCCTACACGAAATATCAACTAAAGGTTCATGAACTCGAACCTGTGTCTCAAGAAAAGGTTGGAATTCAACAGAATGATCCTTCATCTATCACAACATCTGAACCAATGATTTACATTGATCTACCTTATATTCCTGAAATGGACGCTCAAAATCAACAAGATGTTTTTGAACCAGACCTTCGATGGTTAAAAGATCATCCATCAGATCAGGTTATTGGAAATATTCAAGAAGGTGTAAGAACAAGAGCCTCTTTGCACGAAAGTATGATGGCATGTTTTCCTGTCACAAATGGAACCAAAAACCATAGAAGAAGCTCTAAAAGACCCAGACTGGGTAATAGCCATGCAAGAAGAGCTCCATCAATTTGAACGAAATAAGGTGTGGGAACTTGTCCCGAGACCATCTCATCAGAATGTCATTGGAACTAAATGGGTGTTTAGAAACAAAATGAGTGAAGATGGGCTCATTGTTAGGAACAAAGCTCGTCTTATTGCTAAGGGGTATTGCCAAGAAGAAGGTATTGATTTTGATGAAACCTTCGCTCCTGTAGCTAGATTGGAAGCCATTCGCATATTTTTAGCCTTTGCAGCCTATAAGAACTTCAAAGTCTATCAAATGGATGTCAAGAGCGCTTTCCTAAATGGACTTCTTGAAGAAGAGGTGTATGTTGAACAACCACCTGGCTTTGCAATCAATAATGAGCTTGAAAAGGTATATCATCTCAAAAAGGCTCTTTATGGCTTAAAGCAAGCTCCACGAGCCTGGTATGATACTCTCTCATACTTTCTTATCAATTGCGGCTTCACGAAAGGAGTGGTTGATAAAACACTCTTTCGTATAAAAGATAATGACCATATTCTTTTGGTACAAGTCTACGTTGATGACATTATCTTCGGAAGCACGAATCCAATCTTGTGTGAAAAGTTCTCCAATCTTATGAAAGGCAAATTTGAGATGAGTATGATGGGTGAACTGAACTATTTTCTGGGTTTGCAAGTCAAACAATGCCCAGATGGAATATTCATAAATCAAGCCAAATATACCAAGGATTTAATCCAAAAATTTGGCATTGATAGAAAAAGTTTGGTTAAAATTCCAATGAGCACATCCCTCAGAATGGACATTGATAATGAAGGAAAGGATGTTGATCAAACAAACTTTCGAGGTATTATTGGTTCTCTCCTATACCTGACAGCAAGCAGACCTGACATTTCGTTTGCTGTTGGTGTATGTGCACGATTTCAAGCTAAGCCGAAAGAAAGTCACCTAAGCGCAACTAAAAAGATATTAAGATATCTTAAGGGAATGCAAAGTGTCGGTCTCTGGTATCCAAAAGATGGATCATTTGATCTAGTGGGATACTCAGACGCTGATTTCGCTGGATGTCGGATTGATCGAAAAAGTACCTCAGGAACCTGTCAGTTCCTAGGAGGACGAATTGTGTCTTGGTTTAGTAAAAAGCAAAACTCTATTGCCACAAATACGGCTGAAGCCGAATACATAGCAGCTGGAAGCTGCTGTGCTCAAATCTTATGGATGAGACACCAATTGAGAGATTATGGCATAAATCCACGAGAAGTGAGCATAAAATGCGATAACACGAGTGCTATCGCCATTACGAATAATCCCGTGCTGCACTCTCGGACCAAGCATATTGACATCAAGTATCACTTCGTTCATGATCATGTCGAGAAAAAGGACATATCTCTTGAGTATGTTAATACTGATGATCAACTTGCAGATATACTCACGAAACCCTTAAGTGAAGCAAGATTCTCTTCTTTAAGGCATGAACTCGGAATGATTGAAATGACATAAAGCTAAGAGAATCAGATCTGCAAAGATTCTTGCTCTCGAAAATCAAAAGATTTGATTCATCCTCACACGCAAGGATCTTTATAAATGAAGTACACTATGAGAATAAATTTCTCATCTAACGAAAATTCTAGTGTTTGTTTTTGCATGTGCAGGAATGAGTACGGGAAGCGAAAGAACCTTTACGGAGGCACGAGAAGGAAAGAGTGAAGTTCTCAGTGAGCCACTAGCAACTGAGCAACAGCTTAATCAGTTCCTTGAACACGCTCAACACATACGAAACCTCCTCCGTGACACGTCCGATAATGAGTCACGAGAATCCTTCCACTCTGTTGGCAACCCCATTGGATATATCAAAGAAAACAGTGTGCTGGAACTAAGCGATAGTTTTGACTACTCACCCTCAGGCACCCCCACCAAGATAGCATCTCCTCTCAAGTCCACCGCAAGCAGCAAGAAAAAGAAAGCTTGAATAACTTTATTAGGCCACGGTGACAAATTGTGATGTTATCTTGTTCATGATCTTTTTAGTTTATGACTCTATCATGCAAATATGATGTCAGTATCTAAAAGATTTTGTTAAGATTCGCTCGTTATCTTTTGCCTATATATTATTCTTCTATTTTATGAGCTTTACTCATTCACAAGATCTTAGAGAATGATAAAGATTGCAGGAATGGATAAGGGGAAGGAAAAGAGCGACGAAGTTGAAAAAAGGGCCAATCGTCTAAAACATCATATGCAAGAAGCAACAAGCTTCCGAATGCTACCATCTTAAGGCTTGAAGAAGATGGGGAAAGGGTCATCGTAACCTACTCCATGCCCAACACAGCACCAAAGGATAAGGAAACTCATGACAAATTGGTCAGCGAGTCCAGGGCTAAGAAGGCTTACTGCATGGAACAAGCCACTCGGCTTGCTAAAGAGAGAATTCTGATGATGAAAAGTTCTAATGAGCAAACATCTTATGAAGTTCCTCAACCTAGTGAACAATCTTCTGAAGATATCACTATGGTTCACTCTCGGCCCTTAACTCAGTCACCCGAACCCACTCTCTCACTTGAGGAGTTGGATGAATATGCAAAGATGGCAAATCTGACTGATGTGACCGAAGAGATGACTCGTCTGGAACTTCACGTGCCTTATCGTTTTCTCTAAGCCTTTGTATGTTGTACTCTCGTGACCTGGAATCCTCGTGATCTAATAAAAATGCTATCCTTTCGTACTTAGAATGACTGCTTATCTTATCTATGCCTAACTTTATATGTTACTTGTCCAAATCACAGGAAAGCTCATCACTCATACGTTTTCCAATCAAAAGAGCCATAATTTTATGTGTTACAATTTTTAAAAAAAGGATCATTGAAGTTGGAGTTTCATAAAGAAACAAGTTAACAGTCAAAGTCTTGCTTGGAATTAATGACTCATTGACTACAGTTATGAGCATTAAATGTAACGTTGAAATTAATGTGTAACAGACACATGAGCTATGTGGATTTCTTGCTATAAAAGGAGGTGAATTCTTCACATTATACTCATCCTTCTTTTCTTTACCATGGCTCCAAAGAAACCTTTCATCAGAGGTGATTCCCATAAGCTGAAAGAAAGTGCCAGACGTCTCAGGGAGGAACAGGGTGACCTCTACCCTGGTAACAGTCCACAAGCACCGGTGGAAATTCCTTCTGACTCCGACTCGTCTCTTAAGTATGATGATATGGCGGGTTTCATTGTTGAAAGTGAAGAGAAGACTTCGAAAGATCTTACCAAGATTCCAGATCCAGACTATATGGCCTTTCTGGCACAAGAAGACTTAATGGAGAAATATGATCAGGAGGAAGAACCTGAATCCTCTTCTGGCTCAAACTACCCACGAAACGGGAAATGGTTCAAGCAAATGCTGGGAGATTTGAAAAAGGGCAAAGGTGAACCATCTGGAGTCAAGAAAAACGAGAGGAAGAAAATTTGATCTTTTGTCTGTTGTATCTTATCCTATGTACTTTCTTCTCTCGGGTCTATGATGAATAAAACTTAACTGGCTCTGGTTTCCTTTGATCGAGACGTTATATGCCTAATCTATCACCTATCTAATAATCTCGAATCAAGGACAAAATTCTTGAAAAAGAATTTATTCCCTAAACAGTGCCGTGGTTAAGACAGTTGGACACATCTTTTGAGAAGTTTGGTCTATCTATTTAATGGACTCTCTCAATCTACTATGAACTCACTCATCTCTTTCTTCAACTCATGGATAAAGGGAAAGAAAAGACACTCTCATCCAAGAGCTTATCTGAGACTGGAAAAATGTCTCACCGCAATCTCGGGAACTCGGTTGAGAAAGGTTCATCATCTGAGAAAGAACCTGAAATTTCAGAGTTCTACACTCTTATTGAACTTACCCCTCTTCTAAAGCACGAAGAGAAGTATCGTGCACTGTACTCTTTTGCTAAGGCCAAGGTAATGGCTGAACTAAATGACATGGAGAGACGAGGTCTCTCTAGAGAAACCTTGGGAGCAGATCATGAGACTCTCATTGCTGAAGTCTTTGCTCATGAGATCCGAAAGAGGGAATACCTTGAGTACGAACGAAAGAAGAAGGGTTGCAATGTGTAGAAGGGAAGTCTGCATTCAAATGCACGAGAGATTGTAATTGTTTATATTGCGTATTGTTCTGTGTAATAATTCTCTCGGGAGAGGCATTTCTGTTGTTGTAAAAAGGACATGTTTGACTTTATTTGTCTCACAAGTCCGAAGTTATGAAAACTTTATCTTCTTTCGGGTTTGGAATCATGACTAAACATGCTTAATACTTTTAGCTTTTATTTCCAACCGTTCAGATGAATCCTAGTGGGATCATGTGGCCGAGAAAAGTGGTCTACTCCCCCACTCTGTCTGATACATGATGTGACGTGCATTTAATGCACCAATAAGCACTCGAGTGATTTTCTCTCACCTCATTAAATGAGGGAATGATCGTTTTTGATCTGCACACGATCTTATCACTCCCCCATGATGATCAGTTACCTTTTGGAGAAGAAAAACCGGGAGTGTTTTGAATTTTAAACCCTTCTCCTCTAAAAATGGATCACCCATACCCGGATACCCGGAGTTCTATAAAACCCCTCTTAAACCTTTTTGATCTTTTTACCCTACCTTTCTCAATCTCATTCTAACCCTCTGTTTCTCTCGAATCCTCAACCATGGCAGAACACCCTCAAGCATCACCATCTAATCCCGAACCAGAAACTCCTTCCAACTTGGAAGTCCCAAGCTTTCCCACTGAGGACCTGAGATTCATTGAATCCAGAGTACCCTTCATCGTAGGGGGAAATATGTGGGACGCACATGGATTCCTTGAGTACATCCTGGATAGAAAATTTGGTGAAAACATCATACATCTCCTCACAGAAACAGGATTATATAGCTTCATCACACACCTCTATACTGTTTGGCACCCGGTTGATGTAACCCAGTTTTATATGAATGCTTCAATATCTTCTGATTATTTGACTATCACTTCCAGAGTCAATAATCATCATGTGGTCCTTACCTCGGAGGACGTTCGATCAACATACGGGTTTCCACAAAGAGATGAGTCTTACAAGACAGACATTATCTATTATCATCTTGACCCGGAGGAGTTCTACGAATCCATCAAGAACAATCACGCACCATCCAAGGCAGAAATCTCATGGCCGTTGAAGAAGAAATGGTTCCGGCTAGATTATGAGTTCACTGTTGATATCTTCAATAAACTTGTCGATCACAAGACCTCAGGCACTGATGATGTGACGAAGGAGAAGTTGAAAATGTTGCATGCTTTCTTGAATGGTTTTAAAGTCGATTGGTCGAAGATCATATTCAACAATATTGTTCACACCATCACCTTTTATCGAAAAAGTCCAGGAGACATTGCGAAGAAGTTAGGATATGGTTTTGTGATAAGCCATCTTCTGGCAACGAAAGGAGTCGTTCTGCACCCAGGAATTCGGCTTGGACTGAAAGCATGTCACATGAAACAAAAATCGTCGGGGTATGACAAGCAGAAGGAGCTGGAGTTGGGAATCCCTATTGAGCAAGTCAAAGCCAAGAGGAAATCAAGAACACCTAGGGTTTCAGAAGATGATCAACCCAAGCCGAAACGACAAAAACGAGAAAAGCACTCCTCTCGGAGTAAGGCGAAAAAGGCAGAAGAAACTTCAGCTGTTCCAATCCCTTCAAAATCTCCACAAGAGAAGAAAGATCCTATTCCATCCTCCCCTCTACCAGAAACAATCGTTGTCAAAGACTCATCCGAAGAAGAAGATAATTTGATTCTCTCCAGAATTATCAAAAAGAGTCACTTTCGGTCTCCCGTCAAGGCGAAATCTTTTCCGAAGGAATCTTCTACACCGAAAGAAGAAGACACGAAAGATGCATCCCCACAAGGGGAAATAATCACGAATGAAGCACTTTCTGATGGGGAAGCTCAACCGAAAGATGTTCTTCCTGAAGAAATTCCTGACGATCAAGAACCCAAGTCTGTTCTCGGTTCTACTCAAGACCACCATCCACAAGAACCTACTTTAGCAGATCAACTCCTTCGAGAGCTGACACAAGAACCTGCTAATGTAGACATGGAGGCCAGTCGCTTAAGTCTTCCACAAGAACCTGGGTCACCAGAAAAGACTAAAGAGGCGACTGATGCTCTAATATCTTTGCCTTGTTTGCCACAAGAACCTACCAATACAGAGCAGGTAATTCTGACACAAGAACCTGTGTTGGTAGACGAGGCAGCCGTTGTGCAAGTAGCTTCTCCGGATATACCAAAACCTTCAGCTCCAGCTCCTGAAGTAAAGGCTTCCCGCCGTTCACTAGATCAATCGCTTAGAGAATCCATTGAAAGGGATTACACACGAGTTCTGCAGTGGCAAAAGTGGCGCACTGCTCCTCTACGAACCTTTCTTGAAACTTTTGAAGCAATGCAGGATGAAGAAGACTTTGCACTTGCATGGATTGGCACTGAGGATGTTTCAAAAGCTCTTCGGATTGAAGAAATCAATCGCGTTCTCTCTTACAAGATGACGCACTCTCGGGAGAGATAAAGCTCCAATCTGCATCGAGCTCAACAAGCCACCCTTGGATCCAGTTTATGAAGAAGAAATGAAGCAACTTCGATATGCCATGTTGCTTTCAAAGATCAAGACCACTTTAGAGAAAGAACACCAAAATGATCCAAATTGTAATGTCAGTGGCACGAAAGATGAGAGCTTGGACGAGAGATTGAAGAAGACGAGAGTGATGAAGATGAGGATGAAGATGAAGATGATAATAATGATGATGATGACGATGCTGATGATGAGAACAATGATGATGATGACGATGATGATATTGCTGATCATTTGGGTAATGAAGGTGCTCAAGAAACCGACCCCGAAGATAGTCATACAATCTTGATCGGTCCTGACTATGACACCTACCCTCAAAGATCTCCCTTAAGAAGTATACCATCTGACAGTGATGACTCGGAAGAAGTTTCAACTTCCGATCTCGAAGATCTGTCTCGTGCCATTGTCCCGCATATCCAACCCATAGACGAGACTCCAATCAAGCAAGGAAATGAAAGTATGCGTGAAGGCAAACTGGAAGCTTCACCAATTCTTCTTAGCTTTGCTAGTGGTGGAAAACGGGAAGCACCACCTCAAGATGATCACATGGACACATCACCAACAAACATTGAGGAAGAATCCCCTGCAGAGTCCCCACGGACTATCATGAACCTCATGCGAGGAACTGTTCATTCAGCCGAGACCATCCATAGGCAATATCTTGCTTTACGAGAAAAGGACACGAAAGTTATGGATGATCTATGCAAGAAGGTTGATTTTCTAATAGCAGCACAATCTAAACCTCGACCTCCACCTCCAGCACAGTCTCAACCGTAGCAACAAAGCCAATCAGATCACAAGCTCCTTGAGCGAATGACAAAGAAACTTTATGATCTCGAAGCTTCTCTGAACAAAGTTGCGCGACAACAACACGAAATCAAACACTCTCATTTTGGACTCAAAGAGCGTGTGGATTTGGCCTGTACAAAGATTGACACATATCAGGACAATTCGTACCAACTGGGCGAATATGCACTTCAAATTCTCGGGTATGCTCAGGATATCTTGCTTGCAATCAACAAGGTCTCCTCCATTCCTTCTACCACCTGTGCTGATGATGCCAAAAAGGGGGAAAAGAGAAATGATGACAAAGATAAGGATGATGACCAGCCAAGAGATAGCACGAAAGATCAAGCTCGTGAAGCACGACACTCTCCCTCTCGGACACCAAGAGACTATGACCAAAGGAACACGAATCCATCTCATCCACCTTCCAAATCTCGTGGTTACCACTCCTCAAAGTCAAGATATCATGGTCGATACCAATCCTCCAAACAAATCAAGCCTCGACAATCATTTGGTTCTGAAGCCAAATACATCTTCACAGGACTGCCAAAGAGAGAACAGATGAAATTAAGGCAGAAACTTATGAGAGACAACAAAGTAACTATGGATGGCATAGGAAACTTTGTGGACTTTGTCCCATATGAAGAAGGCAGTGGCAAACGATTCGAGGGTTGCAATAATCCCATTTGGTTGAAAACAAAAGACAATTATACAAGACAAAATCACATGAGCACTCAAAATGAGAGAATCAAAAGAGCAAACAAAGAACTGTGGAGGAAGCACGATGAAGAAAGAAAGAGAAGAGAAGATGAAGCAATGGAAAAAGAAAGGATCAGGAACCTCATTGAAGACCTCTCTAATGTAACCAAAGACTCCCCACAAAATGTCATGCATAATGCAGCTTTCAAAGTGCACAAGGAATCAGGAAAGAGCTACCAAGAAGGCATGAATTCGTTTGAACTGATCTCGTGGTGGAAGTATGGTATTGTTGAAGGAAGCAACATTCGGGAAGCCTACAACAATTACACTGGTCTGAACATCAAAGGAGAACATGAAGAGCTTGTCAGGACTAATCCTATTAAAGTTTTCAGAGCAAAAATCAATGAGAAAATTTACTTCAACAGGATGCTAAAGCAACAAAAGGAAAAGAATGACCAAGAACTCAAGGAAGCTGAACAACAGAAATCAAAGCTTTTAGAAATGTAAGTTAACTTTCGTTATGTTTCTATTTATAAAGTTTTTGTAATGATTACATCTTTATATATGAAATTCTCATTGTCATACATCTCGTGTCACTTGTTTGAGTCACCTGTCCTTGTCTCGCTTATTAACGCTTTAATCTAGAAAAAGACTTGTAAACTCTCAAGTATGGCTGTTTTTATAATAGAAAAAATCCTTATGGAACTTTCATCAGCCTTATAAGAAGAGTATAGGTTTTGGCATCATCAAAAAGGGGGAAATTGTTAGGAACATTGTATTAGGATTTTGATGATACCAATGTAATGTAGAAAAGTAAACACCTAACCATTAGCCTTTTTAATCGCTGCTTTCGTCCTAGACGAAAGTTGCCATAACTCCTCTGTAATTCGTGTTAAGCTAGACAAACACACGAAAATGAGTTATGACTAGATGTTAGGGTCTCCAAGGCGAAAGAAGACATGAAGAACAACAACGAGAATCAAGCAGGAGTTGTCAACAAGCACGAAAGGACAGTGTTTGTGAAAGACGATCTTTATCAAGCATTACTTCTCTTCAACAACGAGAAGAATGTTTCACCTGTCTGATTTGACAACATCCTAGGACAATAAGGACTTCATCTTATGGGACACACTTTTCAAGAAGCATTAAATGAAGATGTACCGTATCTTGGAGCTAAAGGACAAAACCCCAATGCTTTCCATACCCTCAACGGCTACATGGTACAACCTCATTAATAGAGCATTTAATGCATGAAGCTCCCCGGTCCTTGTCCAATGGTTAAAAGGTTCGAAAATTTCATCTCCCTCCAACGGATGGATTTTCATCACCTATATAAACTCACCTTCATCAACTAAGAAGGTGCTGGTTAATTATCACTCAACTTACTCACTTACAAAAGCTCTTGAAAAGTCTACAATTTACTAAAAGCTTTTGTGAACCAGCTTTGAGGTGCTAAGTTACTTGAAGAATCTTTTGTCTTACACCTCAAGGAAGTCTTGACATTTGTTCGAAGCAATCATATCTCAGAGTCAAGACCTCATTGTTGGAGAATTCAAGAAATCATTTTCTACCAACCTCAACTCAGGAGAAGAAGTTGATAGAGGCGGAGTAAACTCGAGGAGTTGAAAAACCTACGAAGGCTGTCCGGCTTAGTGATCAAGGAAGTCTTTGTGTATTTGTACTAAGAGTGATAGTGCAATCCTTCCAACAATTGTGGAAGAAGAGTGGAGTAGGCAACATTGGCTGAACCACTATAAAATCTCGTGTCCTCTCTATCTCTTTACTTACGCTTTTCTTTTTGCTCTCATATCATTCCTTTATTATCGTTACCGAAAGTTTGTCTAATTACGCAAACTCGTGCAAAGTATATAAAACAAATCTATCTTATCCGCTGCGCCAAGACACCGAAAGGTGACGTTTAGGGCTTCTAACGAAAAGAGTCTATTCACCCCCCCCCCCCCCTCTAGACTCTCATCTCATTCTATCGGGACCAACACATTTTATCTCTTTAAACAGTGGATTCTGGTATTTGCTATATCATTTTATCTCTTTTATTTTTTCTCTCCCTATAGTAGTGGCTATATTCTGGTCATATGGTATATATACCAGTGGCAGTTCATCATATTTTTTTGTTGATATTACAGGTGGTATTGCCACTCCTAGAGAACAAATAGGAGTACATGTTACTCATCATGGAGTCAAACTTAGCTATGGACTCCCTCCAAAAGCAAAAAAAAAAAAGGCTAAAGTGTCATCCGCACCCTGAACTATATCGGATTATTCATGCGCACCCTCAACTTTCATAAGGTCCATTTAGGTTCACAAACCATTAATTTTTTTTCGCCTAGAACTTTTTGCAGGTTACCTAGTTACCATGATGACGTGGCACCGGTTATTAGCTGATGTGTATTTTCTTTTGTGTTGTAGTGGACCCTATATCCCTAAATAAATCATTTTAGACTGGTTTCTTCATCAAGAACAAACTTTCGTTGGGCGATTACGCTTGATTTTTTTTCTCGTTCTTGCTTAATAATTTGACGGTGGCGTGCACGACGGAGGAGACCAGAAGACTTCATGGCCTCATGGGGCATATGGCCATTGGAGAACAAGTTGAGAGGTAAGTTATGTAAAGGGAGGGAGGAAGAAGATGGTACGTGGATATATATGTAGGCAAACCATTTGTTGCGGCGGTTTCCACTTTCGACGGTGGCTCATTTGCCGGGCGGCGGCTCTTCCTCATGCAGTGGCAATCTTTCGTAGGTTGCATGGACGATATTCATGCAATGATGCAAATATTCATGCTAAATAGTTCTATCAAAATGGTTAGACAAGGTTTCATACTTTCATTAACCACAGGGGAGCTAAAGGTGTTTATGCACATTTTTAAGCACCAAGAGCTTGCCTTAAAAAACAAAAACAAATAAAAAAATAAAAAACAACTTAATATTAATATCATTTTTGTAATATCATCTATTATATACAATTAGTATTTAATATTTAATTTAATACATATAATAATAATGATTTTATTACCTTACTTACTTTACTTAATATATTTTTAAATAAATTATTATAATTTCCATTTGAATTAGTATTTTCCACCTATAAATCTACATCTATCTATATCTATAACAAAATAAATATGTTCAACAAATAATATTACCGTAATATTTACGCCTACTAAATATTAATAACTTATTACTAACATAGAATAAAACAAATAAACATATGAATATTAACCTAAGAATAATAACATAGAATAAATGAATATTATGTATGATATTGTAAATGAATATTATGTATGATATTGTAAATGTATTAATTGGTTATCAATTTATAGTAACGTAATAATAAAAATATTCTTTCCAATAATAATCAATTTATAGTAACATAATAATAAAAATATTCTTTCCAATAATAATCAATTTATACTGAGTATTAATTTTATGTATGGTCACTTTTTATTGCTATAAAATGATAGGACTTGCTTCCTCCAGTGCACTACTGAATCTCTCTCTAAGTTTTTTTTTTCAAGAATGACGGATCGCCGTCATCGTTCCCAATCCACACACAAGAGAGAAACTGTGCAATAACGTTGGACAAAGCGTTATGTATTCAACTTGGGAGATAGAGTTTCGAACAACGATATCTTCGTAAGTTCTCTCTCGTGTATTTTTTCAATTCTTATTTCAAATTTATTCATACACAGATAATTTGGTTGTGTGTTTACATATATTGGTTCTTTGAATTCGTCCACACTCAAGTATGATACGATTTGCAGACCAACAGTTATTTGAAGCTAAGTTGTTCAATTGGTTTGTAATGAATATGTACGTGTAATTGTGGCAGGGCATTGCAGAAGTGATTTTTTATAATCACTCAGATGCTATGAGAGTCCTAAGAAAGCACCAGAATCTAGGCTTGGATGGGAGATTAATGACGATATATTAAAGTTGTAGAAGTTTAATTTTCAATTTCTTGGTTTAAGATGATTCTTTGTATGTAGGTAATAACATTCGATATTCATGAGAAATGTTAAATGTATGCACGTAGATCAATTCATGTCTTTGTTCTGATCAATTTCACAACATGCATTATAAGTTCCTAACTGTGACAAAATAACATTACTAGGCGTATTTTGTGTAGCTTAAGCTTTAGCATGTAATTCAAAGGAAGGCTGCTTACTATTTTGTTGCAAAAGTAGTGCGAAAACAGGAAAACAAAACAAGGTAATTGCAGAGCCTAATGACGTAACAATATTTTTTGTATACACTAATATAAAGTTTAGATAATTATATTATTTGATTAATTAAAATTAATTCTTTAATATCTTATTTCCTAATATTATTATAGTACAATCATTTCGGATATTAATATATAGATTTTTGATTTCGCGGACAACTTAATAAAAGGTGAGAAAATGACTTAATTAGTAATATATGTATAATAATTTGCCGTCTAATTATTGACTTAACTATTATATATAAAACCAGCTTATTAAAAGGTGTGAAATGGTGTATTAATATTTTCTGCATACACTAATATGAAGTCTGGATAATTATTTGATTAATTACAATTTATTCTTTAATATCTTATTTCTTAAAATTATTATATTATAATAATTTCGTATATTGATATGTAGATTTTTTTGATTTTGTGGATAACCTAATAAAAGGTAATAAAATGACTTAATTAGTAATATATTTATAGTAGTTTGTCTAATTATTGACTTAATTACCACATATAAAAATAGACTATTAAAAGATGTGAAATGGCGTAATACTATTTTATGTATACACTAATCTGAAGTCTGGATCATTATTTGATTAATTACAATTAATTCTTTAATATCTTATTTCTTAATATTATTATAGCACAATAATTTCAATAATATGTAGTTTTTTTTTTTTGTGGACGGCCTAATAAAAGGTTATAAAATGGTTTAATCTATATATCTATATCTACATCTACATCTATATATATATATATATATATATATATATATATATATATATATATATATATATATATATATCTAAAAGTAAAATCCCCCCCCCCCCCCCCCAAACTTAAGTACATTTGTGTAATATCCAAATTTAAATAGTAATAATAATAATAATAATAATAATAATAATAATAATAATAATAATAATAATAATAATAATAATAATAATAATAATAATAATAATAATAATAATAATAATAATAATAATAATAATAATAATAATAATAATAATAATAATAATAATTCCTCCACAACGATTTTTTCTTAATTAATTCCTCCAATTAAGTTGTTACCAATAGTAATGCAATATACACACCAATGATTTTGTCTTAATATTTATCAGTTTTTTATGGGAGGCTAAGGGAGTGCTAGATGGAAAAAAATTAATAGTTTGTGAATCTAAATGAACCTTATGAAAGTTCAGGGTGCGGCATGAATAATTCGATATAGTTCATGGTGCGGGATGGCACTTTAGCCCAAAAAAATTTAAATAAAAATTCTTTGGAAATGAAGACATGAAGTGCTGGAGGCATCAAATGATGTGCCTGAATTGGATACTGCTGCAACAATTGAAAAGGGGAAAGGGAAGAAGAAATCATTGGGGCTAATATATGCTAGATCTCAAGTAATCAAGAAGCATATGACTAGATCTATGTTCAAGTCCAAGTTTCATGGAAACTCTAATGAGCCAATAGAGTTAGAATAATTTCATAAAATTCACTGTGGAATTGTATTCTGTTTTGTCATTTTGAATGTGAAACAATGACTCAGTGATTGATTTCAGCGTTGCACTATGTTTACTTTCTGCTTAACCACAAAGTTTCTTTTTTTTTACTATCTGGTTGTCATATCCTACTTAAAACCAATTGGTGATAAGTAGGTGGACATTAATTAACCATTTAACTACATCCCTCCATGGTAAGTCACAGCGTCACGTCTTGAATCGAGCAAGGACTAAACTCGGCTAACCCGGCCGACGCCCAACAATTCCCCTATCAGAGTCACGTCTTGAATCGAGCAAGGACTAAACTCGGCCAACCCGGCCGACGCCCAACAATTCCCCTCCCAGCACCTGCCGCAACCTTTGATAACCAACCCCAGTTGTGCATTATGCTTGACTCGGAACTTAGCCTCCGCGTCTATCATCCCCTCCCGGTATTGGACTTGACCCGACCCGCATACTATACGGGACTAGACTCGGCTTTCATCTATCATCCCCTCCCGGTATTGGACTTGACCCGACCCGCATACCATACGGGACTAGACTTGGCTTTCACCTCACCATCGACCAATTGATGGATCTACTATGCTTACTTCCCAGTGCCAGTGGAACACCTATCATGTGACTGCTGTAAGTCAAACACGCTTAACCACAGAGTTCTTTGGCTATCTGGTTGTCATATCCTACCAATTGTGGATAACTAAGTATAAATTAACTATTTAACCACATCCCTCCATGGTAAGCCATAACGCCACGTCTCAAATCGAGTAGGGGCTGCACTTGGCCAACCCGGCCGACGCCCAACACTTAGATTACAGTTTGATATGCACTTCTTTTGTCCATTTTGATTTTTGTTTAGGCAGAATATTGTTATCAAACTGTAGTGTATATATATATATATATATATATATATATATATATATATATATATATATATATATATATATATATATATATATATATTTTATTTTTTTTATTTTTTTTATTTTTTTTTTATTTATTTATTTATTTTTTTTTTGTACTGCGCAATTGATAAACCAGGATAACCATCCATTTCATTCAAACTTCAAAAACCATACAACACGAAAACATGACTACACCATGATCACCAATTGCACATTATCAAGGCAGCATTTTAACTCCATTTCCCCTACCTTCACAACTTGAAAAAGAACAATAAAAATAACACATCACCAACACTAATATTATTGTCCAAATGATCACTACTATAACTGTAAACTTCAAATTAACACTTGATTTGCCACTCTTAATGCCAGGATAGCAAACTGCTCTTATCTTCCTTGTCAAAGTCTCAATTTCTTCTTCACTTCGATTTATTCTCCTCAATAGTCCTGGAATAATAGCACATTGGAGGATCAAACCATTTAATGAATCCACATCCAACACTAACACTACCTTGTACAACAAATTTACAAAATTAACATTCCAAATATAAGGGGTTGTTGACTTTTTTTGTGCAGATTTGACAAGGAAGAGACAAAAATAGGTAGAAAGAAAATGGTGGACTAAAATATGTAAAGTACAAATCAGATTACCTTCTCTACCAAAAAAAAAAAAAAGTAGAAAAGCTGCGTAAAAGAGAGAGAAGAAGGTATTAAGAATACATTATTCTCTCTCCTCAATTATATGTAATTTTTTTTTTAAATAATTATATTTAAAATTTATATTATTAAATATAAATTATACCATTTTCAATATTTCATTGTAACGATTGAAACAAGACTAATATTGAATATATATTAATTAAAATTTCAAATACATCACATATAAAACTAATTGAGACAGAAGCTTTCTTCGTTGGACGAAGGCTTATTTATTTATTTATTTATTTTTAACAATTTTTTTTTGGTATTTTTATTTATTTATTTTTGACCGTAAATTTATCAATTAAAATTAATACGGAGTAACGATAATTGATCGAAAAAAAAAAATCGATCCATTCGATATCGATTATTGATTTCGTGTGTTTTTTTTTCAATAAGAATGCTCACCACCAATTTAGCTCTCATAACCCATTTAAAATCAATTCATCGAATAATCGAAATTTTGAACGTTCATAATTAGTTTATCAAATTAGAAAAAATTTTGACCGTAAATTTATCAATTAAAACTATACGGAGTAACCAATTTTTGTCTAGGGTTTTGAATCAACACATTTTTGTCTCATTCATGTCAAATCTACACATTTGTTGCTATGTCCCAAATATAGGTAAGAGAATTAACATGTTTTTTTTTTTTTTTTTTTTTTTTTTTTCTAACAAGGTAAAAAAACTTACATTTGAACTTTAGCATTCCCAATACATTCTCACCCATGTTGGATTTTCAAAAGAAGATCATTTTGCGCCAAATTGGAGAAGAATATGCAGTAGCATATTAGCAGTGTTGGAGAGGATGAAGGAACGACTTTAATTTGTTCTGTACAAATTAGATTTATATACGCAAGAAAACCAACTACCCGACGCCACTGGAGTGAACTTCCAATTTTATCCCTGAAAATTGCGATTGAAGTCGCTGGAGGACATTTTGGGTATAAAAAAATTGATAATCCGAAGGATTTAATTAGACAAGTTAAAATGACTAGGACCAAAATGGTGAAATCAACTTAATCGAGGGACCATTTTGATAATTTCCTCCGTGAGGAAAATAGAATTTTAGATGAAAATCCTCTCTATTGGCTTGTAAATGTCTTAACGGCTAATCCAATGTACAAGGTTAGCCATACCATTCTGCTATGCAATGAAAATGATGAGTGCCAACCTGAAGAGATTTTTCTAAAGTTAATTTTCATGATTGCAAACATATTAGCGGCTTGTCTTACCAATTTTCCGCATCTGATAGCTACCAAGTGCAGTTACAATGCTATAGAGCAAAGGGAGAAAAATGTTTGTGAATCAGCTATATCTTTTTGGGTGAAACTGAGAATATCCTAAATCATTTCAAAGAGTGTCAACTTACCAACATTGGTCTCGACTATCCATTGTACATTAATGATTGGCGCCAATGGATGGAGGGAGAGACGAATCCCAACTATTTCAACTTTTGTGTCACGCAATGGAGATCTCTCTACTATTCAATCCATTGAACATATGGTTGCTCAAGTGCTGGCTTGAGAGCAATTGGAGAAAATTAGAACCTTAATCCACATGTTTTACACTTGAGGTAGATATTCTTTATTGTCATTTTATATTTAGCAGCTTACTTAACAAGTTTACCAAACACTCGTAACTCCAATATATATAATCATCTAATTTAACTTTTATTTTTTCATTTCTAACTTTTTTATTCTTAATATGAGCCAATGCCGTGTAAAGTATTCTTAGAAAATAGTTCTATACTTTTCTATTATATTTTCTTACAATGTATCGCTATGCTGGAAAAGTAGTTACTTTTGGCATGTGAAATGATTATTTTCAGGAATGGTTTTGAGTGAGGTTCACTTTTTCAATTTGAGTCGGGTCTAAGTGGACTCGAGTTTTCTTAAGTAAGAGCTTTAATTCAATATATAATATACTCCAAACGGATAATACATGAATGAGAAATTTATTCTAAAAGAAGAACGACCATTTGAATTGAAAAAAATGAAATTGGGAAGGCTTTGACGAAGCCTTTGTCTCACATTGGAGAAAGAAGTGATCGAGTTTGCACGAGTAAGTTTGCATTAGTATATATACAATTGTTGTAAGAGGTGTTTGAATTGTATAACTTAAAAACTTTCTCTCATTCATTTAAAGAAAAAAATGATCAAATAAGTCATTCAAATATACCAGGACTATGTGGTCTAATGGTATCCGGGTTGGACTTCCATTTGGAAGGTTGTAAGTTCGAGCCTCAGTGGAGGCGTTAGTAGCAGCCGCTTAAGACAAGAAAAGCTCCAAATAGACAATTCATTTCTTTCACTTTTTATGCAATTTAGTTAATTACTTATTAAAATTGTGCAATTAGCGTATTTAAAACTAAATTTAAATAATAATGATATTAATTATTAAAAAAAAAAAAAAAAAAAAAAAAAAAAAAAACAGATTGCCGGCTTCACCTCAAAGGAGAAGCCGGCAATCCGGCCTCTCCGTCCAAGAAGCCAGCCTTGCCACCTTGGCTTCTACGTATATGAATGAATGTTCGTCGAAAATATGCCAATGCACTGGTTGTCTGCCTGGCCTTCATACATATAATATATAATATATATATACCTTTGCCTCATATTCCATCTATGGTAGTTAAACTACAGGCCGGAGTTGAAAGCTTAGTTTAATCAAAATGAGTTACAACTACCAACTGGCAGATAGTCCTTTATGTAGCACAAATATGGGACATAATGATTCTCCGATGCCAATTATAGGCGTTTATGTAGCAGCTGCGTCTCTGGCCTGTTCCTTTGCAATGTTCTTAAACTCATGTTTGACCTTCATTAACTGGTTTCCCATGTTTAATGTTCGCTTCTCCGGCAACTTCTTCCCTCTCAATGCAACTTGGTTGACATTATTAGCGGTGGCTACCAAGCTGGCAACCGATCTCACAACTCCCAAGTTGTCTTACCGAGATAATCAGGCAAAAGTTACCAACACGGTTTTCTTAACTGTGGCGATGGGCAACTTTTTCACCTCTCTGGGTTCTATGAATAACGCAGATATTGTAACTAACCTCACGGCTTTGAGCATATTTCATTCGAAGTGTCGACGAAATCAATCTGAATATAAGTGGTCGATCAGCTTGATTTTACTTTCACAATATTATGTCACCTTACCAAGTGTGCTCATAGCTACAATCTTCATGATTAGTGTGGTTGGTTACAAGTATGAGAATAATGGGATCAAAATTAGCAGAGAAGAAGTCACAATTGAGTCCTATTGGACTGAGAAATTGGTTGAGTGGAGGCAACGATCAATACCTATAAAGTTTAAGAGCATACTCAACAAACTTATTTACAACATAAAATCTTTGATCTTGACTTTTTGCATACTAATTCAGACTATGAATGTAATGTGGTGTAAGTTTTTTAGTGTTATCTCTTTTTTACTTGGTGCTTCCATTAGTACTTTTAGTTAATCCTTTAGGCAAATTAATTAATCATTAATTAGGCAAATTGTTCTGCAAAAAGAAAGTTTCAGAGGTAGATCTCAATTGCTTTGTAATACTACTTGAAGGAGAAAAGCAATTCTCAAAAAAATTTATTGAGAGGGATTATTAATAGGGTGGATGAACTTGTTGAGATGGGTAAGAAGCAACGGCCACACAACCTATTTAATCTTCTCAATCAAAGTTTCTCTTTTGCTGATGTGGTAGAATTTGATAGCAATTGAGTTTCAAACCTATTGTTTGGTGAACCTCCTAATTGTTGGACACTTCCGGTAGTGACACTAACAAGCATCGCCATTGCAATTCCAAACATCGCAAATCGAAATGTTGTTTGGTTGGTAAACAGTGCTAATGAAGGCCTCCGCTATGCAAGCCTCATAGATGTCTTGGATGGGAAATGTGAGTTGAAAAGTATTAAAAATGCAGTAGATGTTGCGTGGGTGGGAGTTGAGCTTCATAGGAAGTGGTTAGACATGGATCTTAAAAGAAAAACTGGAGAAATAAGTTCGGTCAAGGATATTATTCAAGATCTTACTGATGTATCTGAAAGGATTGTTATGGAGTTTAGCTCTAAAGAGAACATAATGATAGTGGAAAATCCACTCTATTGGCCTGCGAATGTTTTAGCTGCAAATTCAATGTACAGAATTACTCGAACCATTCTGCTATACTATGAAGATGGTGAGTGCCAAGCTGAAGAGTTGTTTAGGAAGTTAATTTGCATGATTGCAGACATATTGGCGGCTTGTCTTACCAATTTGCCGCATATGATATATACTAAGTGCATAAGCAGTGCAATTGAGGAAAGGTTAGAAAGTGTTCGAGATGCAACTATCATTTTCGGAGAAACAGAAGATATTCTAAAATTTTTTGATGATCATAAACTTTCAGGAGTTGGTCCTAGTCAACCCTTATGCATTGATGAATGGCGTGGATGGGTGGAGCAACAAGCAGCAACAGTTTCATCATCTTCTACAAGAAGCAATGAAGCATCTTCTGTAGAGTCCAATGAACATGTGGTTCTTCAAATGCAGGCTTGATTTATATATGTGTAATGCTTATGTGTGGTTTCTTAGTTACCTGTTTCTTCAAATTTAAACTTGATTTATTTGTGTGGTTTAATTTTATTATGTAAGATTGATGTTAAATAATGTATAGTTGATTAAAATATAATTTTCATTTAGAGTCAATCAATTTATAATGTAAGGAATGTTATATGTTGTAGTGCTGGCTTGTGCTTTTGTTACATTCCTTTAAGTACATTGCCTCTATTTGTAGAATCACATCCTAGTGCCATATGGGGACTTCAAACCTTGATCATAAAGTGTATTGACCTTCCCAAAACATCATTTTCTTATCCAAATCACCTAAGCAAAATCAACAATTACATAAGTGACACAATCAGCTCAAAGGGATAATTAATCGCAAGAAAAAATACTAATAAAGGAAAATTAGCTCAAAATGATAATTAATATCAATGGGTCACATTATAGTAAAATATTAGTAAGAATTAATTCTATTTTTGGTCCTAGATTTATAGGTGATGACAGTTCACTTTTTTTTTTTTTTTTTTTTAGTACTAGAACCAAATTCGGATGTTCTGATAAGAAAAAGAAATAAAATAAAAGTTGACTGTAACATATAAATTTATGGCCATAAATGAAATTAACTCTATTATTTATGGGCATAGAAGATCAAAGTACATCTTTTCTGTTCATATACTTTCTCAACTTACTGAAACACAAAGAACCAATAATGCCTCCACTGAGGCTCGAACTCACAACCTTCTAAATAAAAATCCAACTCGGATACCATTAGACCATATAATCTTGGTAGATCAAAGTACCTCTAATTTGCTTAATATATTCATAAATCCATCAAGGATCAATCAATTAATCGAATTAGAATTATATTGACTAGATCATAACGATTGCATATCATATCATTGTACTGCATGTTTCTTTTCATGTATCACAACCCAAACTTTAATTTGAGACTATACTTCAACTTTTAGAAAGACCTTTAACCTCAATCTGTGTAAACTTTAATTCTTGAGATAAAATATTCTATCATCACATCACAGTAATATACCCATACAAAGCACAATAGAGTAACAATAAGAGTAAATAGAGACTTTGATGTTTTGGGAATTGATACCAATCCATACTCAACCTGGGGTACGGTAGAAGATTTGTTTTGCTTACCTGTTTTTCGTTTTTAATTAATTATTATTTTCATGTAGATGATTCATTGTTGGATATATGGGATGCAATTGAGATCCCATTTGATTTGTTGGAGGAAGAATGTCATGTGATGAAGGACACAAACTAGTGCCAAGGGCAATTTTGTAATTTCCCCTTTTTTCCTCCTCTGGCAGTTATGGATATGACATTGTCTAAAGAATGTGGAGAAGTCTTATTGTCTATGCCAGTCTGAATTATAGACTGACAATAATAATCCTGTAGCTTTGTAGGAATATTTCTCACCCTTCCAGACCTTCTGAGTTCCTGCTGGTTGGGATAGGCCACTGCAATTTCTTCATTATTAGTGACAATGGGATCAACATGTACTGATGAGGGATCTTCTTCAGGTGTGTTGGTGGTGCTTATGAAATCTGTATGGCTTCTGGACTCAGAGCTAGACTCATTGGCATTGTGGATGATATGCTGCTCACTTTCCATGGGATGGAAAATACCATTATGACTGTGATCCACTCTGTGTCCCTCTGGAGATACATCTGCATCAATAGGGATCACAGGTAAAGAAGGATGGATCTCATCACTGTGAGAATTCTCTGAAATGCTTTGTTTAAGAGGGTAGACTTCTTCATAGAATATAACATCCCTGGAAACAAAGGTACACTCATCAGTGATATCAAACAATATATACCCTTTCATATTTGCTGGGAAACCCAAGAGGATGCATTTCCTTGCTCTTGGCATCATCTTATTTCTTCCCTTAGGAACAGTAGCACCAAAACATAGACAACCAAAAGCCCATAAATGATTATAATCCACAATTTTATTGTACAGAAACTCAAATGGTGACTTCCCCTTGTTTACTTGTGTGGGGAGCCTGTTGATGAGGTAGGAAGCATGTAGAACACAATGGCTCCATGATTGTAAGGGAACCCCAGACTGAAACCTAAGAGCCCTTGCAACATTCAATATATGCTGATGTTTTCTCTCTGCAATACCATTTTGCTGAGGTGTATAAGCACAAGACTTTTGATGGACAATCCATTTGTCATTAAAGAAGGATGTCATGAAAAACTCAGTTCCATTGTCAGACCTGACTGCCTTAATCTTAGTTGAAAATTGAGTGTCAACAAAATGATAGAAATTCTAAAATAATTGCTTAACTTCAGACTTGGTTTTCATCAAGTGTATCCAAGTAAACCTGCTGTAATCATCAACTATGGTGAGGAAATAGTGTTCCCTTTTTAGTGAAGCAACAGCAAAAGGGCCCCAAACATCTAAATGCATCAAATCAAAACACTTTTCAGCTCTTGTATTACTAATAGGAAAAACTGATCTCTTTTGTTTGGCAAAATGACATGTGTCACATACAAAATCAACAGGCTTATGAAACTGAATCTGCTTTATTCCACTCAGACTATGAATCTTGTCTATAGGGTAATGCCCTAATCTATTATGCCACATTTGCAAGGATAAGCTATTACAGTATTTATCAATGTCAACACACTGTCTTCTTTTAGCAGGAGGATGACTTAGAAGGTAGAGTCCATCCTTTGCCCTAGCAAAACCATCCATTATCCCATGTAGCCCCTGAATATCACACAAATCAGCATTCATGACAAGAGTACATCCATTTTGTTTTGTCAATTTGCTAGCAGAAATTATGTTAAAAGCAAAAGAGGGTATGCACAAGACATTTTTCAACAGAAGATTGGGAAACAGTCTTATTTCCCCTATATGTGTCACTTGCACAGAATCTCCATTTGGCATCTTAACAAAAATACCAAAGACTTTGTGATAATTATCAATATAATCCAAGGAACAAGTGATGTGATCAGTTGCTCCTGAATCCAGAATCCACATTTTTGCACAGCTTAAAACAGCATTTATGTGAAAGTTAGGAATAAACCTGCCTTCTTTTGTGTCATTAGATGAATTGGTGAACTCTTGCCTCATACCAGTCTTGCTCATGGTGATGGCAGCATTGGTGGAAGCTTGGTTAACTTGGCTTCCTTGATTCTGGTTTTGCAGGAGAGATACCAGCTTCTGAAACTGGTCAGCAGACAGCCCCACATCTGCAACTTGATTCACAGAGGGATTGAAGCCATGTTGACTGTCCTGACTGCTTTGGTTCTGTTTATACTTAGATTTATAACCAGGTATCCATCCAGGGGGGTATCCATGTTTCTTAAAGCATTTATCTATGGTATGACCATTCATTCCACAATATGTACACTTTGGCACATTCTTCCCTCCATAACCATTAAACTTCTTCTTATTATTTGAGCTAGTCATTGCCACAACATTCTGGTCATCCCCAACTTGGTTCTGAACAGCATTGGATTGAACAATTTCAGAAGTCTTGTAGCTACTGGAACCATTGAGTTTTCTTTCCAGTTTCAAAGTCATATTCAGAGCTTTCTCCATACTAGGCAGGGGATCCATAACAAGTGCACCAGATTTTATGGTTTCATATTCATCATTTAAGCCATCTAGAAACCTAATCACTTGATCATCCTCCCTATCCTTTTTAACTTTGCTCATAAGTGTGCAATTGCATCTAGGTGTGCACTCACAGACAGGCAATGGTCTAACAGCTTTCAATTGTTCCCAAAGAGCATTGCATTTAGTAAAATACTCATTAATTGACAGATTACCTTGCACACTTCTGTAAATTTCATTCTGAATCTCAGCGATTTTTGTGTGGATCTGCCTGAGAGTATCTTTTCCTCAAAGCATTCCAAATGTCTTCTGCTATCTCAAAATACAAAACGCTTTCAGCAATGGAGGGACTGAGTGAACGCATGATCCAGGCGCAAACAATATCATTGCACCTCTTCCAAGTCCCGTATCTGGCATCTGATTGTGCTGGACAAGTAATCGTACCAGTGACAAAGCCAAATTTGTTCTTCACTCCAAGAGCTATCTTCATGGATCTACTCCAGGTTGCATAATTGCTCTCAGTAAGGGGAGGTGAAACGAGTATGGTGTTTGGATTCTCAGTCGCGTGAAGATACATAGGATCGTCCAGCTCATCTACTCTGTAAACTGGACTCTGATTGGCTTAGATCTGACTGATCGGAGTTGTTGCTCCTGCTGCACTTCCAGTAGGGTTTCCTCCGGCAGCATTGCGATCCATAGTTACAGCGGCTGCGTAGCTGAATGGAAGCTCTGATACTATGTAGGAATCAGTGAGCTGAGCTAGGGTTTGATGATGTGTGTGTTCATGAGATTGTAATGGAAAGGGAAGTAAAGAGAAGGAGAATTATTATTATCATTGCTATGCAGAGAGAACCAGAAAGAACAGTACATATAGATGGGAAAACAAAAAACAGTTATAACTGCCAGAGGAGGGAAAAGTCGGAAATTACAAAATTGCCCTTAGCACTAGTTTGTGTCCTTCATCATCATGCTTTGAGAAAAGGAGGTTGGAAGATCGAAGATGTATATGTAAACATTATATATTTGGTAAAATGCACCAATTAAATTAAATTGCTATGAGAAAGGGATCTAATTAATACTAATTAGAAGTCCATTGGCCCATTTGGCCATGATAATGACATTAACCTGGTAATAACCTGGTAATCCATTGGCTCATAACTTGAACCAAACAAGGTAATATAACATTATCAGACTCAGATTACCTAGGTAATCTAAGATGACCTGAACCAAAGGAGGTTGGAAGATCGAAGATGTATATGTAAACATTATATATTTGGTAAAATGCACCAATTAAATTATATTGCTATGAGAAAGGGATCTAATTAATACTAATTAAAAGTCCATTGGCCCATTTGGCCATGATAATGACATTAACCTGGTAATAACCTGGTAATCCATTGGCTCATAACTTGAACCAAACAAGGTAATATAACATTATCAGACTCAGATTACCTAGGTAATCTAAGATGACCTGAACCAAACTCCCCCTTAGTAGCATCTTCCTTGATCCTTGTTAATTCATCACATGATTTCTATCTTAGGAAAATTCTATAGCATTTAAGTAAGAGTGGCTTGATCCAAACCCCTACTTTTACCGATATTTGTTAATTGATTTGCTATATATTTTGTGTTATACTTAATTGGTTGTTCTTCAATGGCTTTCAACTTGGCTTATTTGAACTACCTCCCAAACACTAGAGGAATTTTTTCTTTGGGTGGAAGGGAGAGAAGGTTGGAAAGAGAAGAAAGTGAATTTGTAGGAGAGTTTTTTGTGGGATCGGGATGGAAAGAAAAGAGAGAGATGGTTAGTGTATGCAGCAACAGTGTAGCAAATTATTGTGTGGACCACGAATACCATGTAATTTTTAATATATTAAAGGTACATTATTTGTGTGCTGAAGGTACATTATATAAAATAATGTACCCTTAGTATATTAAAAATATATTTTCAAAAAATGTACTTTATGTACATAAATAATGTACCCTTAATATATTAAAAATGTATTTTTTATTTATGGTGACCATGGTACATGCAATAATGATTGCAACAGTCACTGCTGGAAATCGGCAATTTTCCGACCATCGAAAAGTGGTCGGAAATCGCCAAAATCCGGTCGAAAACCCATGTTCCGACCAACTTTCCGATCAAAAGTGGGAGTCGGAAAAACCCTCGTCGGTACTTCCGACCACCCGATGCAGTGGTCGGAAATACCGTCCACATATATAGTGGCATCGAAAAAGTTCGTCGCATGGAAAAGTTGGGCTGCCCGGGGTTGATGGTGGTCGGAAAACTTAATGCAAAGAACATTTAAGTCGGAAATGTACCCAAATAAAAAATATATATATATTTCACTACAGAGAGATTCTCTGTAGTGAAATATATATATATATATATATATATATATATATATATATATATATATATATATATGCTGAATATGCTAACAAACATAAAATACACATTTCATATGCTTGAAGAGAATTCATTCATCAATATACAATCAAAATCTAACATTCCTATATAGTCTCCTAATAATTTCTAAATGTATAAACAACAAAGTGTACATCATTTGAAAGTATATCTGAACTCCCTTACTCACTTAGTTGCTGTTAGTACCTACTAACTTATTTCTCACAGTGACCAACTTTCCCGCCTTTAGCTGCCACACAGCTGAAGTATACAAATAGAAAAACAAGTCAGACCTAGCACTGCGGCATAAAGACTATACTCATGTTTACATCACAAGGTCCTGTTTGAAAAAATCTTATCACCTAAACAGGTCTAATTGTTGAAATGTTCATAGTTCAAATGAAACTAACAAAGGTGTATTAATATGGGTGGTAAAAATCCTAGGAGCATATGCAAGCAGTACAAAATAACAAGCAGCACAAAATAAAAAGCAGTACACCAACATAAAGCCATGGAGATTTTCTTGTGAAACTCAACATACAACAAAACGTGTGAAACAATGCCTAGTCTGGTTTGCTATAGGGAATCGAAAATCAGCTAGAGTTGTCTTCAGTTCAATTTGGGAGAAAGATTAACCAAAAGACATTATTATTTTAGCGAAAGAAGTCAACCTACAAAAGGTCAATAGTTGAAAATATTAAGAGAATTTGGAGCAGCTTATTTTTTCCTAAGGCACAAATTCACAAGTAACTGGAATAAATGAAATGCCATGTTAAAAATCATCGAACTAGTTTGGATAAACTTATGTAAGTCATCGATGAGCATACCTGACTCTATTATTGTGGTCTGGATATTGGTCCGTCACTGGATTGCCTTCCACATATCCTAAATCATGTTTAAATACATCCCAAAAATCATAAGCACATTAACTAACATAACAATAATAGGATCAAACATGAGAAAGAGAGTTCAGATATACTTTCAAATTTAGATGTATTGAGATATGCGTCCCTACACAGCCACAAATTGCCAATGTTATAGTTCATTACATGAATTAACATTGCTTTAAAGATGCTGCCTATTGAGAGATTTAAAGATCTTTTTGTTCATAACCTTTACTTTTGATTACAAGGGGAGTTCACTAATAATGATCTTCCTTTAGCCCTTACCTAGATAGACTCAATAGACGTAATGTGCACACAAACCAATTAGGGGTATTAGTGTATTACAATTTGCAGGAAATTTATAAAATTTATAAAATAAATAAAAAGAAGAAACATACTACCACAGAGTTCTGCAGATAATGATAACCATTCATCATTTCCTGGATTAGTAAGGAGATCTTCTATTTTCCTACCAAGCGCAACAACCCGAACAGGATCAAGATAAACCTGTAGTTCCAACCAGATCCTGTGATCAGTTTTAGTCATGCTTTTGCATCCAAAATGAATGCCTAATTGCCTATATAGAAGCATATGGGCACTTCAACCATTTTTAATGAAGTAGAATGATACTTATAATGTGACTGTTGATTGAAAAATTCATTGTGCCAGGGAGGGAATGTCACTCAATGACAGTAATTTCCAATGATGAAATCAAATGCATCAACAAGATAATAATACACAAAGAATAAAAGCACTGGTTGCACATTTTCAAGACAGCCACGGGATGCAAATCTAAGACTGAAACTACAAGTCTTCAACTCAATCAGATGTTAGTGCACTTACCTTTTCGAAGACACAAATTACTGTACTTCCACCAAAAGAGAAATACCCAAACTGTAAATCAATAGATGAAGAGGAAATGTAAACCAGACTGCAACAATTGAAAAAGGAATAGCTAAAAGCTTATGTCATCAATCACAAACCTCATGACCCTTATGAGGGTTACTATAATTTATGCACCAATCTGCATTAAAACTTGCAAGGAGCTTTGTCTGTGAGATTGCCACCACCAATCTGCATTAAAATTTATGTGTTACTAAATCACATAAACAAAAATCCTACCTCATTTGAAAGAAATACAGAATATTAAAAAAATTGATTCTGGAGAGAAGAGCTCTGAAGAAGAATACACAACATAGGGCTTTTTATCGGTCCTGATGATCTTTTCTAGTTGAGATAGGCCTAGCTGAAAATGGAACCCTGCAATGCAGGCAGAACAGAAGCAATCAATACCAACAATTGAAGCAAGAACTTTATGCACTTGAGAAAATGAATCATTAACAAAAATATCAACACCAAACGATAGCTGATGGGCAAACTTTTAACAGTTGGACACGTCATCTTTTAACTGAGAAATATCCTCAAGCAGAGCGATGTCAAGTTCTGTTCTTTTTTCAATCCAAGCCATCATCTCTGAAATATACACAATATACTAGTGAATGGACATCTAAGCACACACAGCAAGGAATATGGCATACACAATCCCATCCTAAACACTGGTAATATACAATAATATACACAGTATACACAATATACATAATATACACCGTATACACTGACTTAGCAAGCATGAAGAATATACTTGTGAAGAAGGCATACATAATATACGCAGTATACAGTAGGTTCCATTCCGGTAAATCAATAGATGAAGAGGAAATGTAAACCAGAAATACCTAGCTCCTCTCTCATAAACTAACCTAATAATCCACAACTAACCTAGGGTTTAAGAACATTCATAGCCTTCAAATATGGAAAATTCAACAATACAATTAAAAAATTAGGGATTAGGGTTAAAAAAATTGAGAACTAACCTGTAGGAGCTTAACGGCGGCAAAGGAGGCCGGGAAGAGGCACGACGGCAATAGAGGAGGGAAGAGGCGACGGCGGCGGAGGTTGGAGCGACGGAGACGGCGGCGGATGGTGGAGCGACGGAGACGGTGGCGGATGGTGGACTGACGGCGAGGGCGACGACTTCGAAGGTGAGACGGCGGCAACGTCGGAACCGGATGCCAGAAGGCGAGCTGCGATGTTTTGTTTTCTTGTTCAGCAGAAGGCGAGAAGTGTATGCGTATATTGTGAGCGGGATGTATTTTATTTGAGAGGGAGGATTTTTTTTTTTGAGAGGGAAATGAAATTTTTTGCCTAAGTGTGTAAGTTTTGAAAGTCTAAAAGTTTAATTATTTTGACTTTTAATTCTTTTAAAGAATAACACCCTTTCAAAAAAAAAAAAAAAAAACATATCTCCATTCAGAAAAAAAAGAATAACATATCTGGTTTTAAAAAAAAAAACATATAATATAATCTAATATATATTTAAAGTCAAAATTATTTTTACTTTTATTTCTTTTACATAATAACATATATATCAAATATAATACGCGAACTAACGAAAATTTTAGGTTTATTTTATAATAAATCTTCATTTTTTTTCAAATTAAATAAGTATATTGATGGTTTATCAGGGTTCACCATAAATCGGATATATTGGTACAGAATGGGGTTAAGAAAATAGTAGCTTTATTACTCGGGGCGCTAGGTCCAAAATAGTACCGGGTATATAGGTACAGAACGGGGGTAAGAAAATAGTAGCTTTATTACCTCGGACACTAGGTCCACAATAGTATCGGGTATATAGGTACAGAACGGGGGTAAGAAAATAGTAGCTTTATTACTTGGGACGCTAGGCCCAAAATAGTATCTATAAAGCCCAAGGTACAATAGGGATTTAGGGTTTAGGGTACGAACCAGTGAACCGTAAACCATGCTGGCAAGCTTCTTCCTGCTACGTGCTGCCGAAATAATCACGAGGAGACAAATTAGCCCTTCACTATTAAATTAGGTCTACAGATCAAAACAACCAAAGAAAAAAAACATTGCTTACTGAAGACACAGGTGTCGGTCGGTTGGAATGCGACTATCGGTAAAGACGATGGAATGCATCGTCGTCTTGTCCTGCGTTGATGTGGTGTTGGAGGAGTAAAGGAGGAAGGCCGAATGGGAGGAAGGCACAAATTTGGGGCAAAATATGAGTGAAGGAGTGGAGGAAGGCAAAACTTTGGGGCAAAATGTAAGTGAAGGTGCGAGGTTTTCCTTCTTAAGGTGTGTGATTTTCCTTCTTACGGTGCATGATTTGTACTAAGTCAAAAGTTTCTTATACGAGACTCATGTTACTAACAAGTCATACGAAGATTATTGAATTGCTTTTCAAATTGAAGAACCTTGAAATAAAATGTTAGAAAGTTGAAAATAATGTTGCAAAAGCGGTTTCAATATAAGAAAGTGAATAAAATGTGAATTTCTTACTTTACCCCTAAAATTTTAAATATTTTTTAAATTTTTCTGTCAGTTTTAACGGTCGGGGACCAAATGCGCCACTTCGCTCATAACTGAGGGACTAAAAATTGATACAATCATAACTCAGGGACTGAGTCGTCACTACTATTATAACTCAGGGACCAAACTCGTAATTTTCCCTTAAAATAATGTTAAAGAATATGCTCTAACGAGTCACGATCCAAATGAAAATTGGAACTTTGAAATTGAATAGAATCTCTAAAAATGTATAACGGAACTGTCACACTGGACAAAATCTCTTAAAACGACATTCAATAATATTCCTTTATTGAAGATGTTGAAGACTATATGTCTATAGATCATATGTGCTTATCGCCTTAACATTTTTTCAAAGGGCAATCATGACCACTGGCATAGGAGACACCGTAGCAGCGTTAGAGATGGTTCGCTCAGATGAAACAACGATAAAGCAATCTGGAATGGACGCCATGAGAAAATCTAGACTGCTGATACAATATGAATGTTTGTATTATGTAATAAAAATAAAACACAGTACAATACACGATGATATATAATACATTATGTAGGATTATGAAATTCAATATAACTATAATTGTACAGTCCTAACAAGAATAAATGTTTTAAAGAGTTGAAGTTAGAAAATTATTTTATGTATCTACATGGAAAGGGTAGCAAAGCCTTATATTTCATAGCAAGAATGGTGAGAAGGTATCTACTAGTAAACTCTCTGCATCATGGTCGGTTAAAATCGAAAAAAAAATATGAGTGAAATAATCAATAATAAAAAAATAAAAATCATGTGGTCATCAAAACCACAACCAAAATTTTTTTAAAAAAAAAAAAAACGAATTTCCGACCACCTTAACTAGGTGGTCGGAAATAGTTGTAAAAATTTAAACTACCGAAAATATTTCCGACCACTATTTAAACGTGGTCGGAATTTCCTACCACTCTTGGAAAGTGGTCGGAAATTTCCGACCACTTTCCGACGACCCTAGCATTTGACGGAAAAAGAAAAAATTCACTTTTTTGACCATATTTTGAGGTGGTCGGAAAAGTGGTCGGAAAATCGCTGATTTCCAGCCGTGAGTGTATAGTGGGCCCGTTGCACTCCAAATTTTTTTTTTTTTTTTCTTGTTTTCTCTGTTTTTTTTTTTTTTTTTTTGTTTTCTTCCTATTATCCTCATCCTTCTCTCTTCTATTTGTCCAAAAAACTTGACATTGTTTGTATACGGTTGGTGATGCTATTAGGTGGTTTAATTAGATGGAATATGCAGGCACATATATTAAGGCAGACCTACAGAGAATTGGTATTGGTAGTTGAAATTCATTGGAAGCTTCATGGTATATATATATATGCAGTGATGCCAACAACGTTAAAGAAACAGCATTTGTGCGATGAAAACAATGAAGGATGTCTATAAATAAATAAAGAAAAGTTCCATCGATCCACTTCTTTTATTCATTACATAATTTCCTGGAAATGGGCTTGTTAATTGTTTATAGTGTCATTACAGTATATTGTTGATTATACTGATGAAAACAACGAAGGATGTCTATAACCTTTTTTTTTTTTAATGTACCTTTTTATTTGTTAATTGAACATACTTTGGTTTTAATCAGGTCCTCTTAGAGGTATGTGTACCTTGTCAAGAAAAATTTCAAGACTAGTGGTTAAGTTTCATTTGTAAAGACTATTTGGTCATTTATTTCCGAATTAGGTTGGGCAACTTTAGTCAAGTTGCTCAAACAATTGACTTGGTAACCACAAGATTTCAAATTTAATTCAGCTGACTATCCATGAACAAACTAGGATAGTTTACTTCATTGTGATCTTTTATTGGTTAAGGTCATAAGGCAAACTTCACCTAGAGTGAACATTATTCAGACATATAACCTTTTTCGTAAATCAAAGAGACTAGTTATGGCCACGAGTGTTGCTCCAAGCCTCCAAATATCATGCCCAACAACTAAATGTTGTGTTCAGTTGGAGCTCAGATCAAAATTAAGAATACTCTAATTTTTAGTGGATAATCATTAGCAAACACTACACAATAATGATACATTATTAGTTTGAAGGCAAATATATATATAAGTAGAATATGGCTTATTGTTAAATTGAAAAAGTTATATTCAAATCTTTAAATTTTGGAAATATAATATCAAATCTCTGTATCTTATGATAGTTATATCCAACTACAATATTCAACTAAAGAAAAAGTTTAGCATATGAGCAAATTCCACTTTTAGGACTATTGTGGCATTATCACATTTAGTCCTATTCTTTTAATTTTGTCATATTACATCTATGACTTTGAGTAACTTTCACTTTTAGTCCTTAACTATTGTTGCATTGTCACATTTAATCCTATTCTTTTAATTTTGTCATATTACATTTTCATTTGATCGTCACCATTTGTCTTTACCGTTAAAATTGACAAATAATAAAGGAAAAAAATCCATATACATATCGTAACTCATATTTCGAATACATTAGAAATACCATAAATATCAAAAGATGTAATATCTTAACTCACAAAAATATGAATTACGATGTGTAAGAATTTTTTCCTTTGTTATATGTCAATTTAAGGATATCATTGTTTTTCAATATCGTAATTCATAATTCGAACACGTTAGAAATATCATAAATATCAAAGGATGTAATATCGTAACTCATAGAAATATGTTCGAAATATGAGTTATAATATTGAAACACATTCATATACTTTAATTGACATATAAAAAAGGAAAACATTCTTACACATAACGTAACTCATATTTTCATGCATGAGTTACGATATTACATCCTTTGATATTTACAGTATTTTAAATATGTTCAAAATATGAATTACGATATGTGTAAGGACTTTTTCCCTTGTTATTTGTCAATTCTAACAGTAAATTAGTGGAAGACTAATGGTGGCAATCAAATGAAAATGATATGGACAAATTAAAAGAATATAACTAAATATATATGACAATGCCACAATAGTCGATGACTAAAAGTGGAAGTTGGTTAAAGTCAATGATGTAATATGGAAAAATTAAAAGAATCGGACTAAATGTGGCAATGTCACAATAGTCGAGGACTAAAAGTGGAAGTTGCTCAAAGTCAGGGATGTAATATGACAAAATTTAAAGAATAGTACTAAATGTTATAATGTCACAATAGTCGAAAACTAAAAGTGAAATTTGCTCTTTAGCATATATAACTCGCTCCACTTTTTTAAGTCGGCGCAATAATTATTTTAAAAATAAAACATATGCAAATTATATCCCTTTTCATCGCATAGTGTATAATTTTTTTTATTTTTTATTTTTACTTCATACAACTAAAAAAATTTAAATTAATTTCTCAAAAGACCAGTATATAAATTACTTTTACATATTACAGCAACCAAACTAATTAATATTTTTACATAAATTATTTATATTTCTAGAATATTATAAATAATTTTATTAATCATATTTAAATAAAAAAAAGTATTAAGTTTAACATATAACAAATAATTATAAGGGAGAAAATGCATTGTAGATATCGAATTTTTTGAATAATGAATAATTTTTTTTTAAATAAAGGCATTGTAGATATTGAATTCTAAATTAAAGAAATGTATATGTATTTTTTTTTTGTTGTAGTTACTAATTTATTAAGGGAAAATTGTAAAATATGCCCCTCTATAATATGTCAATTATCAATGTCACCCCTGAATTATGAGTGGTG